AAAATAGTACTTCATCTTCTTCCTCAAAAACTTCTTTTTTACAGACTTAAAAACTTCTAAAGACGAGGGGAAAAATATTGATACATTAAAATATCCTAATATCTTCATATGCTGATATATTGCCATTTAAAAACACCATATCAATCTCTTTTACTAATGAAATATGGCTATATGTCATCGTTATGCTACGAAATCCCCCGAAAATTCACCAAATGTTGCCATATTTTTATATGTTGATATATTGACGCGGTATCGATCTATTTTACTAACAAAATCTCACAAGAATTTGCAAAATATCACAAGAGTTTGTAACAGAACGATGAAATTTTACGAGATTTTGAAAGTAAAATAGATCGATACCGCGTTTTTAAAAATCTATTTGATATCAGCATATGAAAATATATTTGAGTATATTATTTTTCAAAGTGTCAGAAATGGATAACAAAACTGCTATTTTCAATGACTACTTATTTTTGTCCAGCTTTAACATCGGTATCGATATCGGTTATCGGCTACATGAGTTTTAAAATATCGGCATATCGGATATCGGCCAAAATCCCAATATCATGCATCCCTAAGGGTTTGTTATGCACCTGTGATGGTTAGACTTCTGTTTACCAATAACTGATAAATTTTCAGTTATTGGAGATAACTGAAAATCAATGGAGTCAATACGTAGTTCTCAGTACATGTTTCAGAATGAGAATGTGTGTAAGGGTACGAGTTGGAACTAGAGAACGCATAAAATATCAGACCCTAAAGGTACCAAGAAAACAAGGTCTTTCTAGTTATTCATGTAACCCACCCTGAACCTTGTACTCAGACTGAATGTGGATGTGCGGATCAGGCGGTAAGCCTGATAGCAGTCATCCAGCAGCAGTTTGTATATTTGAGAAATGTAATTGTGGGGAACACAATTCTAGCATCCATCCTTCCAAAGATCCCTTATTAAAGGAGCTTTTCTGACGGATCTCTGCCTCTGGATGAAGTAAAAACTGCTACAGATTACATTTCCCACCGTCGTGCTTGAGTTGTTCTATCTGGATTGAAGTGCTTAGCTTTCTGCCAGAGGTGCAGACTCTCCTTTCCTGCACTCGAAGGGATCCGACAGCGTGGTGAATTAGATTAGCAAGGTGTGAGCTACAGCGCGCAGCGATGTTGGATTTAGCCTGCCTCTCTTCTCCATTATCTCTGAATGGAAGGCAGACAATTTGTCCTCATAGAGGCATCATTGCCTAAATTAGATCTTAGGCTGCTTCTGATGTGCTTTCATCACTAGAAATTCAGATGGAGGTTTTCTTTCCGATGCCTGTGACACATTATGAACAAAATATGAACATGTCAGCTATTTTAAGCAGGACCTGATGTGTTTTAATACTTATTAGATTTATATCTAGATATGTTCTGAAATATAACACTGCAAAAAAAATGAAATCCAAAAGTAATTTTGTCTTTTTCTTTAATTGAGGAGGTAAGGGATTCACTTTGCCTATAGAACAAGACAATTTAAATTTAAAATAAAAAAATGCATTGTCTTATTTCAAGTGTATATTATCTAATTATCTTATTTTAAAAGTACAAATACTCATTGCATTGCCAAATCATCTTATTTACCTGCTCAGATTAAAAGGAAATGCACTTGACTTATTTCTAGATTACTTTTGCAGTGAACTTTAATATTTACAGTAGCACTGGAAAAACGATCTAGCAACAAGTAAACATTTCTTAATTAAGTGTATTTACCCTTAATTTGAGTACATAAATGAGTTTGCCAATGGAATGAGTATTCTTACTTTTGAAATAAGATAATTAGATAATATGCACTTTAAATAAGAGAATGCAATTGTGTTTTTTTTTATTTTAAGTATAAATTATCTGGTTCCATTGGCAAGATTTCTCTTTAACTCCTCAAAGAGTTAAATAGAAACAAATGCACTTATTTTAAGAAAATAAGTGGCCCTTCCCAGTCAAACTGCAGCCAAATGGCAGCCTACTCCCTCCAACTCCCGGCAAAATCCCCTCCAACTTCCTAACCTGACTCCGCCACCTGGAAACCTTCCGTAGAAATTATTTTGGGAAGGCAGGGAATCGAAACCGGAATCTTCTTGCTGCGAGGCAGCAGTGCTACCCACTGCTCCGCTGCGCTAACCTGACTCCGCCAGATGGATTTGCTCCACATATCCATCTGCAAACCTTCCGTAGAAGTAATTTTGGGAAGAAGCGAAATTACTGGTTAGCTGATTGGCCTATGTTGGTGATAGACGGGCCAAATAAACCAATCAGATCAACGAAGCATATGACGTACTAACAGAGCGATGACGAAGAGGAGCCAATTGATAGATCAAACTCTTGCCGAAACCAGTCGGGAGAAGAGTGAAAACATCTTTTCCTCTGAGAAAAGCCTCCAGAGCAGTGTTTTGCTCTTCTTTCAGTCAAGAAATACTCTGTAATTCCAATAAAACTTGCTCGATAGCCACGCTAACGCTAGTTTCATCAGCTGAAGCCGCCATGTTCTTTAGACTGAACTGTCGCGCTTCTCGTTGCGTCACACCTCAACCCGCCTCAAAGCCAACGCTGATTGGATGTTCGTTTGGTGAACGGCTCCAAATTTTCTTTAACGGAGAGTCTCCAGACTGATCTGCGAGTGAAACCTTGAAAGCTCGCGAGATCAGGATGGTCTCACGAGGCTACCAACTTCCAGCCACTGCAGTGACCTCCTCTTGCATATTTTTTTTACTCTGACTCCACCCTTTCACTGAATTACAGGGTCTGACCAGGAGATGACGCTTCTCTTTAGATCTTAATGTAGGGTGACCAAATGTCCGTATTTCCCGGGACATATCCGTATTTCACGTCCTGTCCCGGGCGTCCCGGGTTTTTTTTTAGAAAGTGAGGAAATGTCCTGATTTCACTGCGCACAGCGCTCCGTGTGACGTAATCCCTGAGCCGCGTCAGTGCGGGCAGCCCTGTTCTTAATCAGAGGCTCTGTTCGAAAACCTGGGCTGCATCCTCCAAGGACGCGGTCTACCTAGACTGGATCCTTCGAAGTCCTTGAAAATAAGGAGGCCGGAAGAGTTTTGGCTGTAAATTCGAATAGGTCCTCCCTTTAGCGGGTTTTACCGCCGTATGCTCTGTTGCTTAGCAACCGTGAAAGTTGACACACAAAGCAGGAAAAGAATGAATACCGAGGTTTTCAAAACTGTTTATTTATTTCTTTTTTATTGTGAAGTGAACAAAGACTACACTCACAAGAATCCAGAGTGGAATAAATGTTCCAACCACCGGGAGCAGGAACTAATCAAATCAAATGTAATGATAGAAACCTTAGTCAGTTAAATAACCTGCTGCTGTCATTCTGCACATCTCTGATGTTGCTGCTATTTTCAAATATCCATTACTGGAAAAATGTCCATAGCTGCATATTGGTTATTTATTCCCCAGTTTTATATTGTCAAAACACTTTACAGAATTTTATTTTTTATATTTTAACTCTTCCCTATTATGTTATTCTTATACATTTTCCTAAGGTCCTCATCTGTGTGACCATTTTCAATAATCTTTCTGCTGCTGTAAATTTGCCCATTGTGGGACAATAAAGGGATTTTCTATTCTATTCTATAAAAGGGTTAAAAATATATAAGTAAATCTAAACAATGTATCTACAAAATGTATCTGCAAAATCTCTAATATTCAACAACAAAAAATACTTAGTTAAGCATATTGTGCAAAACAACAATAAAAAAATTAAACTCCTAACTCCTATTAAACCTTTAGATAAATCAAACTCTACCGCCACATATCTGTATCTCTATAACCATTAAAACAACTTGTAACAAGTAACATTTCCTCTCATCACGGATGATGAGACATTTGTTCTTTCAATCACCCCCCCCACCCCCCCACCCCCCCTCCGCTCCAAGGTGTCCTGGTTTTCCCGAATGAAAATATGGTCACCCTATCTTAATGTCCACAAATCATGACAGAAAGAAGATTTTAGTACAAAGATTGATGTTTAAAAATGAATTTTAGGAGAAAAGCCAAGGGCCCATTGAGGAAAGTTTAATATTCATCTTACTATACGATAAACCAGCACCTTGTTAAGATCACAGCTCCTTTTCACAGCAAGGAGTCCAGCAGAGAGAGGACAGATTCCCAACCCTATATAGGGCCGATGTCAGGTGGTCTTCTTTATCCAAATAACAGAGAATGCTTTGATTATTGCAGGTCTAAAACTGAAAGATTTAATAATAACAAAATCTAAAAGATCTTACAATATGTTAAGAGGTAAGTATTCCCATCTTGCTAATCTTTCAGATGGGAAACAAGCACTGTAACTGTGAATGGAAGCTAACTCTGTGGGGAATATGTGGAGTTTTTAATTATCAAGAACAAAACCCACCGCAGACGCCGTGATGTTTTCCAATAAATAAATTCAAGCTCTTTGATTAAACCTGTCCCAGTTGTTCGCATCTTTTACCATCAGCGCTTCCGTTCAGCCACAGATGTCATTGGGCAGATCTGCTGCTAAATGGCCTGCTATTGATTCCTTGTTGCCTCCTTCTGATGGAAATAGACCCAGTTCTCCCCGGGGTCTTCGGCATGTCGTCAGACTCGCTGGTTGCCGATCTTTCAGCCACTCAGAATGAGATTTTAACAGATAAGGGTTTTTCAGAGAAAGGATGAGTTACGATTCAATTTGATGAATGAAGCGGAGAGAATGAGGACAGCTCTTCAATGTAGATCAATACAAAACAGATCAGCAACTCAGCAGCCAGGCTCCTCTTTAAAGGTGTGACCAATCAAATGAATACAGAGTGAACTGATAAAGGGTAAATGTTGAAAAGCAAATTTCAAATGAATAACTAGAATATATACTTGACCATAATAAGTATCATTTTTCTAACCTTAAACATTTAAATGTCTGAAGCCACAGTAATATTTGTTGTAAGTCATTTTTTCTTCATCAATAACTTAAAGCTATTTCCTCTTTTCCCATCCAGGTGAAAAGGTGGAGAAACAGCTTTGCCGGGATGCCATCCTCCCTATGCCCACCATCTGTGAGGTGCCTTGCCCAAAGGACTGTGCCCTCAGCCCTTGGACTCCGTGGTCATTTTGCTCCCATACTTGTTCTGGAAAAAACACAGAGGGGAAACAGACCCGAGTCCGTTCCATCCTCGCTCACAACGCAGGAGAAGGTGGGTCCTCCATCACATCGCCTCCATCGCCAGAGTGTTATATCAGCGAGCTGTCAGGGTCACCTGCTCACTCTGTCACTAGAGGTCTTTACAGAAACGTCTTTATGCTCATTTAGAGGTACACACCAGATAAGCATGAAGGAAACAGCAAAAATCACATCAACTTAGTAAACTTCAAAAAACAGTTTCTATACTTTCCTGAGGTTCTTTTTGAATAAAAAAAGGGTTTAAAGATTCTGAATAGATTGGAGCACATTTATGGAATTAGTTCTGCTGCAGTAAATATTTAGCTGTTTCCGCTGCTGAGTTAGATACTAACCTAACCCTGCATTACAATCACTCTTCGTCCTGATGGCACGAACCGACGCCAACACACCGTAAACACCAATAAGTCACCAAAGCTCAAACATTTTAAGCCAGTCTGTTTAGACTAGTATTTGTGAGTTGATTAACTTGAAATCAAAAGTTAACACACACACATACTATATATATATATATATATATATATATATATATATATATATATATATATATATATATATATATATATATATATATATATTAGGGATGGAATGGTTTATTGCGTTCGGTTCATGCGCTGCTCCTTTTTCTCATAGGCAAAGCGATTACCCTCCAGAGCAGAAGGTGGCGCTACTGCGACCAAAACAAACCACCAGTAGTAAACAAGAAGAAGAAGAAGCGAAGCAGCGTAGCCGGGTGTAACAGAAAAAAATCAGTTGTGGAGAATTGTGTGGGTATGGCGAGTGGGAAAGAACAGGAGTTGGAAGACGCGCCAGCAGCACTTTATAGGTCTGCTGTATGGGACCACTTTGCATTTAGAGTGACCTACGATGACGGCGGAAAGAAAGTTGTGGATAAAAGTGCAACAGTGTGCAAGCATTGTGCAATACGTTTTGTTTATGCTAACAGCAACATGACCAACATGTCATGCTAACCCCGAAATCCCTCATACTCCGTCAGCGCTCCACCCCGCTGCGCTCCAGACCGGCTGCGCAAAGCAAAGCCTACAGCCTCCACTGTGGCTCCCGTCCGCTCCGCTCTGACATTTCCTCATATTTTAATGGAATCACAGCTGATTGTTAAAAAACAACACTTGTCTTACTGCAGTTTAAAAAGGAGAGTGTTTCATAAAGTATTACAGACTCTTAAAATATGCTAATAATAATAAATAATAAGCCACCTTCCCAAGATTAACAGACAGTACAACAGTCTAAAGCCAATATCTATAGTTATTAGTGTTTTATTTTAAAGAGCATTGAATTGAAAATAGTCCAACGTTAGCCCTCAAATACAAAAATATAACTACTTGTACTCATTTTTAAAAGTGGACACCAATATCTTTTTTTTTTTTTTCGGGTAAGGGAAGGAAAGATTATTTGGGGCACAGTTCAGTACAGGGACAATTCAAAGTGCTTTACATATAATAAAAGGAAAATAAAAGCAGAATAAAAGCAAATAAAGATTAAAAACATGGTAAGAGCAGTTGGTAACAGAAATAAAAACAGCCTTAAATCTAACTCCAACAGTCAAAGGCAGCTCTAAACAAATGGGTTTTAACTCTGGCTTCAAAGAACTCAGGCTTTCAGCTCTTTTCCAGTTTGCTCCAGATCAGTGCAGCATAGATGCTGCTTCTCCATGTTTTGGGTGGACAGAGTAGGCTGGAACTAGAAGACCTGAGTGGTCTGGGAGGTAGATCCACTGACAACAGATCTGCTATGGATTGAGCTGTAATTTCTAGACTAATAGAAGGATTTTAAAGTCTATTCTCTGAGATACAGGGAGCCAGTAGAAGGACTTAAGAACCGGCTGATGTGTTCTGTTTTCTTAGTCTTAGTGAGGACACAGGCAGCAGCTGTCTGATGGCCTTTTTAGACAAACCTATGAACACAATGTTGTAGCGATCAATTCTAATAAAGATAAATGCATGAATGAGTTTTCTATATCCTGATTGGACATTAGTCCTTTAATTGTGGAGATATTCTTTACTTGATAAAAAGCTGACTTATTAACTAACTGCCTTTATGCGTCTATGAAAACGATTTAAGACCCAGAATTAAAGCAAGCAGGTCAGGGTGATTTCAAAAACAAGCGTTTATTAAAAGATCAGTGTGCGGCTGCTTGTCAGCTGGGGCAGGTCTATTGGATTCTCTGTAGAGAGGTGAACTCAGGTTAGTGATTACAGACCTTGGACGGTAAACGATGATGAGTATGTAAGTCACTAACCTGGTTAAAGTTCAGTCTGAGCTCAGAAGAAGGAGTGGAGTCCAGAGGGATTGTAGAGCAACGGCAAGCAGAAGCCAGAGCATGCAGAAGGGCAGAAGAATCCGTTGGGATAAATTTAAAAGCCAGAGTTGAAGCAGGAGCTGGTTTCCAGGCCAGAAGATCAGAAATCCGAAGAGGTACCGAAGGAGTTTCCAATCCGGGGTCAGAAGACAGATTCAAGGTCGTAAACGGGCAGGATCCAGGTAACAGTGCGGAAACAGATCAGGCAACAGTGCAGAACAGCGAAAACCAACACCCAGAAGACCAGGGACTGAAACTAGTTAGGATCAGGTAATCAGAAACTCACAGCTAGGCTAGAAAACCCTCACATTCGGCTCGAATGATCTAGCACTGATGGCTGGGAACAGGCAGCTTAAAAAGAAAGCAGGAACAGGTGGATCTGATGAGCTAAGTCCAGCCATCAGTGCCAAGATCATGACATTGGTAGATTATCTAAGGAGCTGCTGGTCAAATTTATGCATAAAACTGTTTTTTTTTGTTTGGTGTTTTTGCATTAAGATGGAAGAAACTTGTCATTTTACATTTAAATGATATCTTGTGTGTCTCAAACAGTGACTGCTAAAGTTGTGGCTTGGGTTTCTGTTATGCAGGGTAAGGCATAAGATTCCTAGAACCTTTAGTTTATCTGAGACTCTCTGCTTTAGAAGACACGGATGTTTTCTCTTTTGTTCAAGGTCTTTCCCTGCTGTCGCTGGTCCAGCCCATATTTGGTATATCTGTGTTTGACGCTCTTAGCTTACAGCTGTGATATTTGTTGATTTAGTCGCTGGTCTTCCAATGCTTTAATAACATTAGTGTTTTTTCCTGTAGTATCCTTTTGCTTCTAGACATATTGTCCTTTAAACAAAAACCTTTAGAGCTCCTTAGTCATTTCTCAGCACCTTAAATCCATGTTTAACAGGTAAATTCCAGCAGCAATAAAAGAATCCATGCAGCCAATCACAGTTAGGAGATTCCTTTGAAACAATTTAAACATAATAAAGCTTATCAGATTGTTGCTTATTTCTTGCTTATAGATCATAATAATACCATTCAGATTTCTAACATGTTTGCTGCTCTTCCCATCTGATTTAATGATCACATGTTTGTTGCTAAAAACTTGAAAAGGCTGCATTCAGATTCTCTTTATCAACCTTTCAAGGTTTTAAAAACATTAAAACTTTAAAAATCACACTCAGAATGTTACAGTAATTCAATCTAAAATGTGCCACTAGATAAAAAAATCTTCCACTATAAAATTATTTGAAAGAGTTTTTTTTAAATGTTGTTTTCTTTAAACCAACATCATTCGTAATCATACATCATAAATAAATTATAGATTTTTTTTAAATGTATTAAGTTTGGGCAGGAAAAAAACAGCACTTATCCAAAAATATTTTCTATTTTAGAGCAGCAACAGTTCTGACTAGGTGAGAAACAGTACAGCAGATGAACTCTGAGAAAAACTCGGTTTTTATGTCAAAGGGATGAAAGAGAGAACATCCTGTTAGTGAAAATTAGTCCATAATGTTTCGGAAAGAAACAGCACTAAACACTGAAAAATAGAGGAAACTGTATTTTCTGTGATGAAAGTTGTTGATGGCAGCAGTCACTGCCTAACAGGACAAGAAAAAAAATTAAACTACTATGACAAGAAAAAAAAAACAGAATGAAGCTGTCATAAAACGGGAAAGAGGACCCAGTACTCTAGGTGAGACAGTCAGTAGGAAAGTTCCTAACGTTTATTAATATAAAAATATCAACAAAGTGAAAATAAAGTGGAGCTGCTAGGATGTGCGGCTCGCGGATGCTGCAGGAGGGGGGCGGGGCACCGCCCTATCTCTGACACTCTGTGGGAGAAACACAGGTAAGTGACCACAGTCACCTGACAGAAGAAGATCTCAGTGAGTCACTTACCTGGTTTAACAGTTCAGTCCATCACCCATGAGGGGGTGCGATCCAGCTGATGGGCTGACTGCTGACACGACAAGCGTCACCCAGAGGGTCCCCGGTGCTGCAGCTCCGGAGAATTAACAGGAAGCCCATCCAGGCCAGGGATACAGAACTGGCAGGAACTGACAGATGAGACGGGATCCAGGCATCCTAGAGCTCCCAGGCAGGTTCAGAGTCCGACTGAGTCTGGAAGCGTGACCAGGAGCAGACAGGATCAGGTGCAGACGGGCAGGCTCAGTGGGAGAGGGTAACAAAGACAGGACGTGGAACCAGAACCTAATGCAGGAACCTTTAAACTGGTCTCCACCTTGGAGTCAGGCTTACTGGGACAAAGAAAAACAGATCCTCCCCGCGTATAGAGCCAAAAAACCCAGAGGACTCAGCAGGAGAGGAACAGGAGACGAGACAGACACAAAAGCCTCTTTCCACTGGCTGCCAGGATCCAGGACATGAACCTTGGAATCAACAGAACTGAACATAAAACAAAACCTAAAGATCTGGCCATGATAGCTGGAACTGAGCCCAATATAAGGGCACCTGGCAGGTGGATGAGATGAGTGATAATTAGGAGCTGGAAAGAGTCAAGCAGGTGAACAGCATGAGCAATTAAGGCCAGCTATCACAGCCGATCATGACAGAGCTTGGTACATTTATACACACGTCATGATCAGATCATTTTATTTCGTTTCCATGTAAACAGAGATTTTGAAATTCCAATCAACCACGATTTAGATCTGATCAGAGGAGCCAGTGATGCCTAAATAGTCAAAAACGCAGAGACTAGAATTGGCAGGAATGAGCAGAGTTTGGATAATAAAATAACAAGGAGAATTCACAGGAATATGACAGAGAGAGCAGGACGTGAAACAGACTAGCATGAGGTTGAGGAGAATATTAAGATCAGGTAAGATTAATCAGGGAAGACTGGTGAACAGCTGCAGAGGGCAGCTGACAGGAAGGAGGCTTATTAACACAGAAGGAAGACTAACACTCATCTAAGAGAATAAATCACGATACACAGAATGGAATAAATATGAAGTGAGTATGGCAAGAGGTTTCTAACAATAAACAACCAAGGAATAAGTAGAAAAAAAATGTTCTCCAACAACTGATGATCATGATGGATAAAAAAAAAGAATAATTAGTAGCAGCTTATTTTTAACATGACAGTTAATTCATTCACCAGTGTAGTGTTGCATAAAGGTCTTAACTTTTACTTATCTAACACTGAAAAATTCTTTAAAAAAAAACTAAAAAACCTTACATATTCTGCATTCTTTTTTTATGATTAAACCAGCTCTGCTCGTTCATCAGAAACACTGAATTTCAAATTATTAAACACTTAAATCACATCATTTCATTAGAGAAATCATTAATTAAATTATTAAATTGTATTCCATTTAATTTCAATTCTATTCAGTTTATTTCTATAACGCCAATTCACATCATGTCATCTTAAATCACTTTCCAGTTCACCAGATCATCCAGTCAGATTGATTCAAAGTTTTCTGTCTAAGGAAAAGCAGTTTGTTGTATTGACTAATTGACTCTTCAGCAATCCCTCACACTAAGCATGCTTGTAGCGACAGTGGAGAGGAAAAACTTCCTTTGAACAGGAAGAAACCTCCAACAGAACCAGGCTCAGTGTGAGCGGCCATCTGCTGAGGCCCACTGGGGTTCAAGGAGACAGAAGCAGACACAGAAAAAGCAACTGTAAAAAAGCTGCCTGGTCCAGGAAACACACAGCAGGGCAGATGAGCTCCATGAAGAGAGCACATCCATCCAGTCATGGTCAGAGAAAGAGGACTACACAGACAAAAGGCAGATCTCCAACAAAAGAAATCAAACAAAGGTCTTAATGGCAGCAGCACAGCTGATATTTCTCTCCAGGATGGAGTCACAGCCAAACAGGAACAGACCAGATGAAGCTACTATGAGAAAAAGCAGAGAGAGCAGAACGTTAGAGATTGAACTAACAGATTCTGCAGAGTGGGAGAATAGAGATAGAATGAAGCAGAATGATGAAAAAGGGGTCCCTATGTCCTCCAGCAGTCTAAGCCTATAGCAGCGTAACTATAGAGATAGCTCAGGATAACCTGAGCCACTCTAACTAGAAGCTTTAATACGATTCTTTATTACCTAATTTTTAAACACTTGTTAGTCCTATCACATTTTGTTTCTAATTGATTTTGTTCAAAAGAACGAAAAGAAAATAAACTTTGACCTATTAATAATCCAGCATTTGTGCTTATTTATTATAACATGAAACAGAGCAAAAACAAAATATTTCAAAGAACATAAGATGGTTTAGTGCATCCTTTCATGTATGACCTGCGAAGCTCTCTTTATATGGAATCCCTGTTACTGCTGCAGCTGTGATATGGTTCTGCTTGCTTTCATGTGCTGGAAACAATCATGCATGCTGATTATTTCAAAGCTATTTAAGGGTTTCTGTTTAGATGCCTGCATTTTTATTTAAATGCTTTGAAGGTCTACAAAAAGTTAGACATGGAGCAAAGGATTTGAAACGGTGGCTTTTGAAAGCTTTCACACACTTGTTCACATGGTCAGGGATTATAGCAAAAAAAAATCCTGAGCCTCAACTTTGTCATCCCAGGCAATCAACTCATATTGTATATATAAATATATATATATATAAAATATACATGATTTGTATATATATATATATATATGTAGCTCCATGATTTGGTTCGAAAAATTATTTTCTTTTACTGTCTGTGAAATGAAGCTTAAGCATAAATTGAATCTGGAACCGTGTTCAGCGCCGGCCAAACAACTCTGAGGTTACATCTTCTCCAAAGCCAACCATCAAGATCCCCTTCATTTAGCTTCTAGCCTAGCTTCGCACAAACGCATGCAGACTAACTTTCCCCCACCTCCATTCCATCTCCTCCCTCATTTTCAATTCCGACCTATCCAAGGCTTATTCCAGAGAAGACTACTCTAAACCTTTTCTAGGTTACTCACCCAAGAAAATGTTAATTCACAGCATCAAAGTTGTCTGCCGGGGCTCCAGCGCCAAATATCTTATTCAATTTATGTCTTTATCTGCTTCTTGAACCCCAGTGGGCCTCAGCAGATGGCCGCTCACACTGAGCCTGGTTCTGCTGGAGGTTCTTCCTGTTCAAAGGGAGTTTTTCCTCTCCACTGTCGCTACAAGCATGCTTAGTGTGAGGGATTGCTGAAGAGTCAATGAGTCGATGCAATCAGCTGGTTTTCCTTAGATGTGAATGATGTGTGTTACCTGTTTGAGAATAAATATTTCGAAAACTTTTCTAATCGCAGCTTTTCTCTGTTAATTAAATTAATTTTAAAAGAGAAATCCAAGATCATGTGGAAGAGAAAACAAGATTATCCACCTGTGTCCTTTTTTTTGTCTTAGCGGCATGTTTTCTAGTTTTCTAGATCTTGTTGATGCTTAATTTGAGTGAAGTCAGTTTTAAAACTTAGACACATTATAAAAAAATCCCATTAAAGTCCCCCTATGTATGCATGTATTCCCAAACAGATGCAGCAAGGTATTCCTCTGTGCAGCTTTGCCAGGACTAAAACTATTCATTGTTTGTGTTGCACTGCAGGAGGACTCCAGTGTCCCAATGTTAGTGCACTGCAAGAGGTGAGGAGCTGCAACGACCATCCGTGCACCGTGTATCACTGGCAAACAGGTCCTTGGGGTCAGTGCATCGAGGACTCCTCCATCCCCTCCACCAACGCCTCTGTGGGGAGAACGCGCAGCAGCGACGCCTTGTGCTCCGTGGGAATGCAAACCCGTAAAGTCATTTGTGTCCGAGTCAATGTGGGACAAGTTCCTCCTAAAAAGTAAGAAAACAAAACAGTAATAGTTGATACACTCTCTGTCCCTGACAAAGGACGTCACTCTGGTTGTAAAGACTGTCTGTTCCTCAAAAGTTGAAAAATCAATCCACTGGACTTTGTTTCCAAGTTTGAAGATGTTTCTCTTCCATCCAGGAAGCTTTTTCAATCCAAAATGTCAGAAATAGTGTTGAGTTCCAGGTTTTATCCAGCAGCCCAACAAAAACAAATGTTTTAGTTTAGAAAACATGCAAATAGAAACGGATGAATGGGTCCCCCCCCCTTTGGAATGGGGGTCGTTTGGCTTCTTTGTTATCCTGCAATGCCCCATACCTGTCTATGGCACTTTCTCAATTCACGAGAACGCGAGTACGTACTCGCAATCTCGTCAAGTCCGTTTTTGGCGCGAACGCAGAAAGATCGGACTTGACGAGAACGCAAGCACGTATGTGTATTGGAACAGAAGAGTACTCGTGACGTCATCACATGCAACGTTCTTTAGCATTTCTTTAACAGTCAAAACTATTTATTCCCTACACAAAACATTTTGAAAACAATATTTTTAATTTCTAAAGCTTAAAAAACATTTTTTTTTAATTACCGAACTGTGGGTATAAAACCAGCAATGGTGGGAATTTATTTGTTGGGAGTTGTACTGGTCGTAGTGGTTGAGCTGATTACAGGCAGCACAAGGCAGTCAGATAAACACAAAACAAATGGACGTTTGGCCGAATTAAAGCAAAAAACCGCCATCCATAGGTGGATTAATGACCGGGCCTACCGGGCCCAGGCCCAGGGGGCCAGAGGCCCCAAGGGGCCAGGCCAACTTGGCCCCGCGGCCGCGACCCAAGCAAAACTACTTTTGCAAAAATAATAATCTTAGGCCCCAAGGGGCCAGGCCAACTTGGCCCCGCGGCCACGATCCATAGAGGGTAAGAGGCCCCAAGGGGCCATGATCCATGGAGGGTAAGAGGCCCCAAGGGGCCAGGTCAACTTGGCCCCGCGGCCACGACCCACAGAGGGCCTGAGGTCCTAAGGGGTCAGGCCAACTTGGCCCCGCGGCCATGATCCATAGAGGGTAAGAGGCCCCAAGGGGTCAGGCCAACATGGCCCCGCGGCCATGATCCATAGACGGTCAGAGGCCCCAAGGGGCCAGGCCAACTTGGCCCCGCGGCCACGATCCATAGACGGTCAGAGGCCCCAAGGGGCCAGGCCAACTTGGCCCCGCGGCCACGATCCATAGACGGTCAGAGGCCCCAAGGGGCCAGGCCAACTTGGCCCTGCGGCCACGATCCATAGAGGGTCAGAGGCCCCAGGGGGCCAGGTCAACTTGGCCCCGCGGCCACGATCCATAGACGGTCAGAGGCCCCAAGGGGCCAGGTCAACTTGGCCCCGCGGCCACGACCCACAGAGGGCCTGAGGTCCTAAGGGGTCAGGCCAACTTGGCCCCGCGGCCATGATCCATAGAGGGTAAGAGGCCCCAAGGGGTCAGGCCAACATGGCCCCGCGGCCATGATCCATAGACGGTCAGAGGCCCCAAGGTGCCAGGCCAACTTGGCCCCGCGGCCACGATCCATAGAGGGTCAGAGGCCCCAGGGGGCCAGGTCAACTTGGCCCCGCGGCCACGATCCATAGACGGTCAGAGGCCCCAAGGGGCCAGGCCAACTTGGCCCCGCGGCCACAACCCACAGAAGGCCAGAGGCCCCAAAGGGCCAGGCCAACTTGGCCCCGCGGCCGCAAGCCACAGAAGGCCAGAGGCCCCAAGGGGCCAGAGGCCCCAAGGGGCCAGGCCAACTTGGCCCCGCGGCCACGACCCACAGAAGGCCAGAGGCCCCAAAGGGCCAGGCCAACTTGGCCCCGCGGCCGCAAGCCACAGACGGTCAGAGGCCCCAAGGGGCAAGGTCAACTTGGCCCCGCGGCCATGATCCATAGAGGGCCAGAGGCCCCGAGGGGTCAGGCCAACTTGGCCCCGATCCATAGAGGGTCAGAGGCCCCAAGGGGCCAGGCCAACTTGGCCCCGGGGCAACGACCCACAGAGGCCCCAAGGGGCCAGGCAAAATTGGCCCCGCGGCCATGATCCACAGAGGGCCAGAGGCTCTCAATCATTATTATCAAAGCTAATTCTCAAATTGGATGGATCACACAACCTCACTCACATATTCTTTATCAATTATTAAAGGTTGTTTCTGAATTTTGATCACAGAACATAATGCAAATATTCTTGATTGATTGACAAAGCTCATTCTCAAATTTTGATTACACAACCTTACTCTGACAAATTATCATTATCAAAAAGCTCTATCTCGAATTTGGATCAAAGAATCTCACTCAAGTATTCTTAGCTGTGCCCCTCCCCCATCGAGTCTTTCATAAACCGGTCTGTTCTTTTAGAATCTCCTCATTTGGTATTTTGAACTCGTGAGAGACTGCTCAAAATTTGGTTTCCTTTCCCTCAGTTCAGACTCAGAGATAATTTGAAATCATTCAACAAGAAGTTTAACGCGCGCACACACACACACACACTTGAGTTGAGCATTACTTGGAAATTCTTATATTTTCCATTTTGCTGTTACTATCAGCATCTTCCCATTTTGTCCTTTTCTTTCGAAAAAGTTTACAGTCTGACATTTGTCACTGCTGTCAGTTAATAACTTTTTGGTCTTTGACCCATTTTGTCATTTTCTCGATTCGATCGTCACTGACCACTCTCTCCTGTCTGGCAGACATCGTTGCTGCCATCATAGCTAGCAAGCTGCCTGCAGATAGCAACATTTTGGTGTCCTTTGTGAAAATATTTAGATAGAAGACAAAAGTGCACAAAGTTGTACAATTATTATCTTTTCAAAATATTTGTTTCACTGTCAGTGTGATTGACCGAGTTTGCCGCTAGATTTCGTGTTTTATGGCCATACCTGGCTAGCGACTAAAAACATCATTTAGCGACTTTTTGGTTGTGAAGATAAGTGGTAAAAGCAGATCTGCCTGTTGGTCTTCCCACATTTTGCCATTTGGTACTTTGCACTCTTGTTGTTCACTCCAAGGCATTTGTCCCTGCCTTCAGCTAGTCACTTGGCTCTTTTGGAATATATTTCACTGTAATTGGCTCTCTCTCTCTTTCTCCTCAGTACAAATCAGTCTGTTCCCTTGCCATTTAGACATTTTCTTGATTCGATCATCACTGACCACTCTGCTCTCCTGCTGTCTATCAGACGAATCAGTTGATTCTCTGCTCTCAATTGTCTATGCTAGTAAGCTGTTATTCTCTGCTTTGGAGTGTTGATGCTGGGTTGCTAGTTTTCTAAATCACCTCACACACTTGAAGGAAGCAGCACCGATCATAAACACACAAACAAACTCACACACACACACACACACACATAGTTGGTTTATCTGTTGTGATAGGCAAAGAGCCAATGTGCAAAGAAAGAAGGGAAATATGGATCATAAACGTTTAAGTGGAGGAGCTAGAAAAAAAAATCAGCAAGAAAAGAAAAAAAATGAATCAGTTTTACTTGAGAGTGTTCCAAATATCTCCAGCTTCTTCAGTACAAAGACATCTGCTGAAAGCAATTCTATAAATGCTACTGCAAATTCAGCTAAGGTTAGCAATGCACCTGAGCTAGCATGTAGCTCCCAAGATCCTGAGACCACTACAAGTGTAGACACTGAACCAAATGCTTCTGATGCTTATGATTCAACCAATTCAGCAGTAGCCAGTTGCTCGGATGAATGTGAGGTCACTGCACCTCTGGACAGCATAGAAAATGAGCTGAATCTTTCTTCAACACCATCTTCAGTGACAACTCTACCTAGTGATCCCCCTAAATGGGCTGAGACCCTCACTGAGTCAATGAAGGAAGTTCTTATTCAAAGAGGTGCAAAATCATTTCACAACCGTCACAGCCATTATCCAGCTTCTGTGAGGAACAGTGGGCTAGGAGGCAAAACCCGATGCCTAAACAATGAACATTTTACTTCACACTTGCCCAATGGACAACGAGTACAAAGAGAGTGGCTGATGTACTCTCCCTCTACTGGTAATGTTTACTGCTTTGCATGCAAACTGTTTTCCCCAAAAACGCATTCTTTTGTGACAGGCTATTGATGCAGACCTGTTCAAACAGTTTCAGGCAGAGAGCAGCTATTGGAGGCAGGTGTTACAAAGAGTTGTTGCAGTCATTAAATTCCTTGCAGAAAGGGGCCTTGCATTTAGGGGTAAAAATGAATCGTTAGGGTCTCCTCTCAATGGGAACTACCTTGGTATTCTGGAGGTCCTGGCTGAATTTGATCCCTTTCTAAAGGATCACATCAGAAAGTTTGGGCAGATGGGTCGAGGTAATACCTCATATCTGTCCTCCACCATTTGTGAGGAATTCATTGAATTGATGGGTGCAAAAACCAAACAGGCTATAGCAGATGAACTGCAAGCAAGCAAATACTACTCTATCATTGTGGATTCAACCCCAGATTTATCTCATGTGGACCAATTGACATTCATATTCCGTTTTGTTAGCAAAGAGGGCAGTGTTGTTGAACGCTTTGTGGGTTTTGAGCCCATTACTAGCCATACAGGTGAAAGTTTGGCTAACTGTGTCATGTCTGTGTTGGAAAATCTAGGGTTAGAGCTGTCAAATTGCAGGGGGCAGGCTTATGATAATGCCAGCAACATGTCAGGGAGGTATAATGGGTTGCAGGCTCACTTAAAGAAAAGCAACCCATTAATACACTATATTCCATGTGCAGCTCACTCTTTGAATTTGGTGGGAGTCAACAGCATTGACAGATGTGGAAATGAAGTCTCTAAGTATTTTGACTTGATTCAGTCTATTTACAACTTCACAACTGCATCCACACACCGATGGGACAGGGTATTTGGCAATTCCAACATAGATCTCACACTTAAAGCTTTATCCAACACGCGTTGGAGTTGCCGTGCAGAATCTACCAAAGCACTGTGGCAGAACTACAGTAAAATAAAAGCAGCACTACAGGTTATTTCCACTGAT